GATACTTTTGTTGCCAGGGAAATAACGAGGACAGATAAAGAGCTAACTCACGTCAGCTCCACTGGAGGCGGTGGTCGGGCGCAGTCTGCGGCCTCTGACAGTACTGCTGGCTGTGCCCTTTAACCCTCTCTCTTTCCTCTTCATAGCTGGAGGCACCGGAGTGACAAAGTTGTTGATAACTGGGAGGCAATAGGGCGAGATGCCATGGGAGGCCTCCACTGCAGTCAAACGTCTCCGAGGCTCTTTTTCCATCTGGTAGGAAGGTTAATGAAGTCTTTACTCTGGTTCTGCTCATACTGATGCTCTGTGATTGTGGCTTCTCTCCATGCAGTCAACTATAGGTGTGATTCTATCAATTATTTTTCATGCTAAGGCCTACATCTATATCTCTACACTTCTAATAGGTCGTTTCCAAAAATACAGTATGAAAAAAAAGAAATTGCAACTTCATATCGCTTGAAAATCTAATTTGTCTACAGAGAAAACGCAGTGACTCATATACAGGTGAGTATGTTGAGTCTCACACTCACAGTGCAGTTGAATGGCAGGTGGTTGTCATGAGAGGACTGGAGCAGTCTGTAAGGGGAGCTGTGTCTGACCGACGCCGTGGTGCTGTTACTGTGGATCGGTTTCAAGCGCACGGGCCTCTGCATCTTCCCCGGGGCCGTGTTGGGTCGAGATGAGCTCGGCTAGAAATCGTGTTACAGACATTCAGTGTGCATTCTGCTAATTATGGAGTTCTGCTAATCTGCACGGCTCCTGAACCGTCACTATGGTGCACTTTTACAGCGATGCCATACTGTGTTTCCTTTAACACAAAAACCTGCTCGTTATGTTGGTGTTTTGTGAAACGAAGCGTATTTGCTATTCAAACCTTTCTTTCCTCGGGCTTGTCATTCGTTGAATGTAAAAAGCAGTTATTTTCTAATCTAATCTTAATCTTTTAATTATATTTTATTCTTGGTGGTATAATCACATTTTTAAAATAGTTTTTAAAACATTTTTTATTGTCAGCGATCTTTAACGTCTCCCACTACTTTTAAAAACTGCAAACTTCTTAATAAATCCACAAGAAATCATGATGAGAATAAACGTATTCAAAATGCATATTAGCTTCTTCTTATCATTTCCCAACAAATCCCCATCGATGTATATCAGGCGAGGCTCAGCTGTGATTAGTGTGTGATTTTTGTGGAGTTAAGGTGGTGGGGTCAAAGACAGGAGCGATCACAGCGATCAAAGACAGGATTACTGGCTCTATTTATTCTGGCATCGAGGTGCGTGACTCTTTATGTTTCAAATATAACACACAGCTAATCCCAGCACTTCACTCTGAACACTCTCGTCTGCGCACAAAACAAACAGCTGAAGCTGGAACTCTTCATACTGAAATGGCAGTGTCGATGTAAACATGGCAACTATCAGGATGAACAGGTTATAACATACACTATAGCAGTTTCTCACCTGGACATCATCTCCTTACCTGCAGGTCAGATTTTCCATGTTTGCTCAGGTAACATTATTCGTGTTACAAAGAATGCAAATTTTTCTGCCCCTCTATAAGATGACAATTAAGAACCAAAACAAAACAGCTGACTAACTAATTGACTAAATGCAAGTTCTTCAATGAAATAATCAGTTATTCATTTTGGAAAATGCAAGATGTTTGCTTCTTAAGAGTTAGACTAGAATCTAAGGACATAATAAAAAATATAATCCAAGCCTTAAAGCATAGGTGTCAAACTCTGGCCCGCGGGCCAAATTTGGCCCGCAGCCTAATTACATTTGGCCC